GAACGGACGGAACGAGAAAGGGATTCGACGACCAAAACGTTGTTGCTAATTGTTACTTTATCCCGTGGACCGTGTCCACGTCCAATTCGACACGTTTTACCTTCCGCAGAGGTTTACGACGGAGAATTTTGCCTCCTCCTCCTCCCCCTTCCCATAGAGAGAATACTGTCCAACCGATGAATGATTGGGAACTGGAGCGAGGCATTCGTTTCGCGCTTCAAGAAATTCCCGACAATTTCGCTCGTTTATCTGATGAGCGCCCACTGTTTGCGATCCTTTTGCTCGTCAAGATGTTTCACGAGAACGATAGAACTGCTGCACGGTCCGTGTTCGTTGTCCAAAAAGGATCGGGACGTGGATTGTAATAATTGGATCGATGTTTTCAAACGAATAATCGTATGTTATTGATTGGATAAATAGAATAGAGAAAAAGGTTGAGATCGAGAATTCTTACGCGGGAACAAGAGATCGATCGCAGAAAGCACTGTTTCACTGTTTGATCTTGTTAGTTGTGAAGTCTTGTTACAACTTGTTGTGTACGTTACACTTGAACTTGTGTAGTATGGGTGTTGCCATCTGGTGGGACCATCTGGAGATGGCACTTGGTGGTCATGCGTGTTGGATATTACTGCGTGTCACGTGTTATTAAAACATAATGTTCCTTTTTGCATTATGAAATATAAATGCTACATTTTCGAGTCACAAATTTCATTCACATATAACACAACTGTTCGTTCCTTTCTGTATAAACGAAAAATTTCTAAAAAAGATTCTCATCTTGTCTAAAATATTATCGAGATTCGGAAATAATTCCATTGGAAAGTAACCATTCATTATTTTTCCATCTCTTCCATCCTGAGTCTCGCCGACTAAAATTGGAATTTTCCATTCGACGAGAAAAGAGAGGTAATTCTAATTGTCCACAAAGGCGGAGTCGTTTGGTCGTTTCCATTCGAGAGTTCCACCGATGAATGAAAGGTGTGACGGATAAAACGGAATGAATGCCCGCTTCGACGAACAAACGATGTTTAAGTTTCGCGTTGACGCGTGAATTAGGCCACGGTTCCGCGCCGTGCTCTTCTTTGCATAAAGAAGTGTATATTCGCGTGTCGATCCACGTGGAAACGTGCTCCAACAGATAGGGAAAGTTTTCCATCGGTGACAAAGGATCGCGGCTGCCCATTGTTCCCTCCTCGCGTCTCACTCAGTTATTCAATTCTACTTTTTTCCATCCGGTTTCGTTCGATTTTTCGATCCGCCAATGATTCTGATTCTCCTCCCTTTTTCCTGGAAAATTTAATCTTTGATTTGCAGGGAGAAGAAGGGAAATTTCAGAGATCATCTCGAGAAATGTCCAATTTTCTAAACGATTGTTGTTCTTTTCTTGGAAGGAATAAAAGATTTTCGAGATATTTGTGATTCGTCTCGATGATTAATTTCAACGTATTTCTAATTTTTTGACGGTCGTTCTTTCTTCGAGAAAATAAGAATTTAGAATTTCTTAGAGAAAAGTGAAAAGTGTTTTTTGTACTTTTTCTGGATAATTGTAGAGAATAAAGAATTTCCGGAATTTCGAGAGATGAATATGTCTCAATGATTTTCGCGTGATGTCATCGTAGCTTTTAAAAATGATTGTTATTATTAACAAGGTTATATAACGAGTGTTCGGATCAAACTGTTTTTAATTAAACACATTTATTGAACCTTTAATCGCATAGATACATCTCGTCGCGTCGTCCAGCGCGTGACGATTATAATATAATATATATTTATATATATATTTATCTTATTCGTTACATATGCATGTGTATATATATCTTTATACTTATACATAACAGAGATTCACGCGTTTACGAGGGAAAAGGAAACTGTCGTTGTCCGATATTTTAAAAAAATAATTTCTTCACTATACTCTCTCTCTTTTTTTCTCTCTCTCTCTCCGAAATGTGCATATCGTAATTTGCATAAAATCGTTCTTTGACTTAAAAAAAAAAAAACTCGTAAAATACTGGTGAATGAATGAAATGAATAACTGAATAGTGAGAGGAATAACGGAAAAAAATATTTCACGAGACTTTTTTTTTTTTTTTTTTTTTTCCATTTAAAATCGTCGCCTCGTTTAAGAAACGATTAAAAAAAGGGGAAAGGAAAAAGAAAAAGTGTAGCGCGTGAAATGTCTCGCGTCACAATCGTTCACAATGCCTTTTTTATCCCTTTTCATCGAACGACAGATTCCTCCTCGGCCCCGACCGGATGCACGATATCATCGATAGGTCGATCGCGCGGAAATAATAAATAGATAGAAGGTACAGTGTTCCACGAGGTGGAGGCGCGTCTAGAAAAATATAGATGTGGGAACAACACACGTACGGGGTGTCTCGAAAGTTGCGTTTTCGTTCCATTTCTCTCTCTCTCTCTCTCTCTCTCTCTCTCTTC